GAGATGGGAACTGGGAGCGAGATGAGGACGGAGGAGTAATTTCAGTTACACGGTGCCATTTTAGGTGGTGGGTTTAAAAGGATGCGGCCCATCTGCTGCTTTTTTAAGAATCGAAAACGACTCAAGGACTGCTTGTTATCAAATGCAGCCCCACCTAAATGATCTCTAATATTTACCAATTAAAAATAAATTTCAGATTAAATATTTACCAAAAAAATGCTAAATTAAATTATTACCATATGAAAATACTAAATTAAATATGACCATACACAACAGTGCCAAGTAAAAAGAATAATATTATTTTAATTGCCATATCCTTACTGTGCCCGTATTCTAGTTTTTTACTGTTGCTGTATTGCACTGTATCGTAGCGCTGTATCCATTCCTGTATCTGTGCTTGAGAGCTGAGACAATTTCAGTGACATTGGGTTGAATTAATTAAAATGGAAGTGATTTTTACAGCTCACAACACATTTAAGTGATGGTTGAGAGACAAATCACTATAGTTTCTTTCTTTGTAATCCACCTCTATAGAAAATACTCCCCTTCGCTATTCTTCTGTTTGTTCTTTCTTTCTCACATATATTAAATTCATGATTTTTTCTATGACGGCTTGCAGTTTGTCATATACAAAGAAATAAAGGAGAGGTTTAGCGAGCATCTGTGGCTTGATGTTGTGTCCAAATGTGATCTGTTGCAAAAGTCTCCAGTGCTATTTGCTACTGATAAGGGTGATGATTCTAATCTTGAGCTGGAAAGGTACCGGAAATTGGGTCCCGATGGAGCTCTTCATGTGTCAGTGACAAATGAAGTAGGGCTCACTGAGGTAATCTTTATATCATAATGTTACTCTCTGATATAGTGTTGAACATGGAAGCCTTGAGCTTTGATGTTTTGAACTTTACAGAAAGGGGCACATTGCTACAAGGCACATTTGTGTTTTCTATTAGTTGTGCTCATTTTTATGTAGACACACTCCTAGGCCTGGCCTTCTAAAACTAAAATTCTCATCCCTTGCGTTCTATGATAATTGTTCTCTGTTTGATTGATGAACTTGTTGCTTGTAGTTTCTTAATAAATTAAATAGGAAAGAAAGTATTTTCTTGTAAACTTACAATTCAGACATCAACTTTTTGCACTGCAGTTAAAGAGTAGAGTGCATGAGATGTTGAACTCTCAGATGACAAGGATCCAAGTTCAAGAAAAGCTAGAAGTTCTTACTTGAGAGAGCAATCTCTGAAATATAAACAATATTGGTTTCCGCTTCTGATGAAATGAAAATCAAATTACAAATTTGATCATCCCAAGGATGGTTTCCGCCTCTGGTGAAATGACAATCAATTTACAAATTTTTTCATCCCCAAGAAGGGAAGCCAATTGTGAGTTTGGCTTCCGGACTAGCGGAAGATCTGCAGCATGCAAGTGCTTGTCTATAAAATAAACTCCTGACTTTTCAGATTGTTTGGTCTACTTGTGATCGTCAGTCTCTACTTAGGTACAGAGAAGCTGAGTTAAATGCATTGCAAATTGTATTACCTTTGCTAATTGGAAAAGAGCTGTACTAAATCACAGTCGTTCACATTTGCTTGGACAACTATGAACCATTTAAAGATATATGGAATAGGTTCGGCTGTTTTGTCCAGTTAAATTTTTAGCTCCCTGTTGATGATTATATGTATAATTTTAGATTACTTAACGAGCTCGTCCAGGTGTATTTTTCTTTCCGGCCATGGAGTGCCTTTTGCTCAACCAAGTCACCAATTCATTTCAAAACTCAATACCATTCTTGGGAAAATATAAAAAAGCTATGTACAAGTTTCCAATGCCCTAAGGGTTCTTGTGTTATTTGAACATTGAACGGTTGATTCTGTCGATACTGATATCGGATATAGGTTCTATAGGCTGATCATCACCCCCCATTGGAGCAGAGCTCAAAGGATCTCTACTGAATTCATCTGCAGAAGACAATGGAAGTTTATGCAAAACTTATCAAAACAATGAACTTGAAGCCTGAACAAGACATCCAAAACTTTCATCACAAAAAGGAGGTAATCAACTCTCACCATATACAGTATATAAGGAAGATGGGGGAGGAGTCGACATGAAGTTGACGCCACAATAAAATCCCAAAGCTAACACCACTGTCATCATAGCATATGCTGGCACTGCCAATGCCCAATACCTGAAAATAGTAACACAAATTCGAAGACTAACTGAAAGTGTTCAAGGCCTTGACTTGCAAACTAGAGCTCTCAGGTTCGAATCTCCATGACATCATAATAGTGTGCATGTGAGAACCACCGAGCCTCTCCTTCTCCTTTATAGTTTAGACTATCGCTTGTACTTCAAAAACAAAAAGTATTCAAGGACAAAACAAAATTACCACATTAAAAAAACCACCAGAGCAATTGTCTTTTCTTTTCCCTTTTTTCACAACCAGAGCTGATTTTGTTAGAATTCTCTCCACGAACTCTTCCATTAAGAAACACTGACCAAACTTTTTCTTTCCCAATCAAAGTAACGTTATTTTGATTTAAACATTAAGTTCCCCTAGCTATGACAAAACATTATCAAAGTTCCAAATGAACAAAATCTTTGAAAAAACACTTGCAAACACATGAGAGAAACCAAGCTGACCTGCTGGGATAGTAAAATATCCCAATGGAATGTAGCCAAGACTCTGGAACATATGCCCACACCAAGAAAATAACTGCTCACAGAAAAATACCAAAGTAAATATTAAAAGAAAATTTTGTTTTCTAAAATCTCTCGAGGAAGGAGGATGGTAGATGAAATAGACCTGTAGCCACAACAGTTGTGATGGAACCAACAAAGCCATAAACTTCAGAAGGTTTGGGGCCATGAAACCCAGAAGCCTTATCATCTGAATCTACAAAAGACACTGTTGCCCTCCTCTTCTTTGATACACTCAGGATTCTTCTGGGACTGCAAACAGAATAAGAATCTTCCATGCTTTCTTTTGGAATTCCAGCACAACCCAAAAAATCTATAAATTACAAGAAAAAAAAGATTTGATCCATCTTAGTTCATCAAGGAGTTGGGTCATTTTCTCCTATGTTACTGGTTGAAATTCTGTAAGTGCATAATTGAGATAAGAATAAAAAGAGAAAAGAATGTGTCTTCCTCTAATTGAAACAGAGAAAAGAGAAGAGAGAAACATCATAAATTTAGGATACAAAAACAGAAAGAGAGAATTAGAATATGGGAAATGAATTGTGAAATTAATGCAACAAATTGCTCATCAGATTTTTGTTAATGGGAGTGAGAGAGAGTACCTGGAATCGGCAAAATGCGAAGCCAAAACGCAGGACAGGGAAGCGTTTTGTCGCGGCTGTTGTGCTCTGGTTGAACCCGGATCGAAGCCGAAGGTGGTGTGCGTTTGTGTGTGTATCGCCGTTGATCCAAGAATACCTCTGTGTAAATGCAATTTTCTGGATATTGGGCCTGAATAAAAATATCATGGGCTTGGGACTCATGAGCTTCAAGTAATTTTGAGTTAATCCTAATATGACACACTGATCTTCAGTAATTTTGAATTAACCCTGCAATCGAAATTCTATTATGAATTCGCCTTCCTTTGTTATTGTTGTATCAAAAAAACAAAAAACACAAAAAAAGAGTCTGAACCTTAGCGAAGAACAAGAAGACAAACTAAGAAAGTCCACAGATCCTCCCCAAACAATATAATGTTAATTCATTCAACTCTCTATTTATATTTTCGATGTTAATGTTGTACTTTAAACTAAGGCCTCGTTTGGTGACCCGGCTTGAATTGGATTGTAATTGAGTGCAAATCAGTCCTTATGAGCCTCATCCCTCAATGTGAGACTTATAAGACACAATATGTTGGATTGTTATCCATTTTAATAAGTTCAGTCACAACGCACCAAACAACTACCACAACTTGTCCATTTTAATTGAAATAGTCCAGTTCAGCCCCACCCACCAAACGTAAAGCACATTCTTTCTTATCTCCCCCATTGAATTGTCATTGTAATATACATTCTAAATACTTGATAAACTACTTTTGATGAAGTGATATTTCTTTTCCTAAATTTGAAAGCAACCTGAATTTTGAATTCCCCCTTTGTATTAGTCTGAAAAATAAAACTGAACCTTTCAGAAAGATATCACGATCGCCGTATCAGCCTTATAAATACTAGGATACACAAACATAAATACTTACCAATTTGACATACTTTTTAGACATGTAAAATAAAGTACTTTTGCTTGTGAATCTTACAATCAAAGCCATTAGCAAAACTTTCCTATATAAACAAGTACTGAATCACGCTTCTTTTCAATCTCTCAGACGTGCCTCTCCATTGTTTATACTTAAATACCTCAAAATTTGATTGCAGAGTTTGTAGTAACTAGTACTATCCATGGCAGGAGCCATTGACGAATGGACAAGGGAAGAAAATAAAGCCTTCGAGATTGCCATAGCCACCTACAATATTGAATGCATCGAAAAAGGGGAGTGGGAGAAAGTTTCTTTATCTGTTCCTGGAAAATCTGTTGATCGAATAAAACTACACTTTGTGCACCTATTGATGGATCTGGAGGCCATCGAGTCTGACCAAGGACCACTTCCTGATTACAAGTATGATGAAGACGAGAACGATGGTGACGATGGAAACGATGGTGATCATGGTGATATCAAAGAGAGAGATGTCGATGGTGCCATGACGACAATTAGATGAGAATTTTGCAGTAACCCTAAGGATTTGTAATTTTGATCAACTTTACTATAGTACAATTGTTTTCTCCATGGGGTTGAAGTACTTCTCTCACTTTTTTTTTTTATCTCTCCATTAATAGTTATGTTCCAATAGCAGAATATGTATTACTAACCTTTTCACCTTTCACATTTACATGTATTTAAAATACAAAAGACATTGTTAAGTATAATTTCCGAGCAAGAATTCTAGTGATGGCCTTATATATGGCTCCTAGTTGAGGACTTATTTCTTAACTATTTGATCTAGTTGGTTAGCCGTTAAATCAAATTAGTTAGCATAATCCAATAATTAAGAGATATGATCTTACCTAAGGGTCATATATAAGGCCCTTACTGTAGAATGACCTATTCTCCCTTCTATTTTGCTCAACAATTTGTTCCTCCATGTATCTTATCCATCTTGCCCAATCTAATTTTGGTCCAGCCTGAACATCTATCAATTGAGAACTATTGGGTCTAGTGGGCTCGGCCCAGAGCTCGAGCTGGGTCAATCTTTACAATACTCAATTCCAAATAAAATGCTCTTTATATCGTAGTTAAAAAATTATCAAAGGTCAAATCCCAGTTTAAATTTACTCTTTAAAAAAGAAAATACAAAAAATATATATGTAATTGTGTCCTACAAAATCAATGAATACGGTGCTTCAAGAAAGTACTAAAATTTCAATAACTCAATTGAATGCTCAAATGATATCGAATTCAAGTGATTTTTTGTAGAGATGATCTTTGAATGTGTATCTACAAAATTTTGGATTAGTGAAATACAATTGGGAGTGGGCCCTATAAGGGGTGTCCCTCAAATATTCCCTCAATGAAAACTCTATGTATATATATATGCAGCCTTTTTGAAGTACACCATTGGTTGCTGAATCATCGGCATCATTACTGTTCAGATTTCATAAAGACCATCTTTGCAGCACCGTTGTTGAATAGTTCTTTATATAAGACAGTTTAGACCATATCAAAGTTGCAAAATAAATAAATATTTAATTTGATTATTTTTATTCAACAAAAAATTAAGTTGCAAAATAAATGAGTTCCTCATTTGAATCTAATACGAAACAGATAGTGTAAAAAACATGATTACCATTGTTTATACTACTCATTTGTGACTAATTCAAACAACTCATTTGTAAATCATCTCATTAGAAGAAGCTTAGCCGTAATCAGTCGTTTTGAAATTTGTTGTCAACTCTTAATTTAAAGGGAGAATAATCATTGATAATTTAAAATATATATATGGAATTAATTAATCAATAGGGCCAGTTCCATAGCGGCCATAAACTGGTTCAATATATTTTGGAATCTTGTATGTATATTGATTCAAGTGAGATAAATAAATAAATAAAGTTTGAGAATATTCATGGGTAGAATAAAATTGTGTTCATCACTTGTGCCTATGAATCATGCATAATCCATCTTACCTAGCGCTTAATGACAAAATACTTCAGAATTTAAGCCAGGTAGTTACCCAAATTCCAATCTGTACGTTATAAACAGAAGTCTTTTTTTATGGTCGATATCAACAGATGTCCTCAGTATTGTTGTTATACTTCATTTTATAACTCACTACTTTATCATAAGCAATTATAATATGGGAGGAGAATAACTTGTTAAATTTGAGGACATATTAGATTAGAATAAGGGGGCTCGAGAATAGTGATGCCTTAGTGTTCGGATTCAATATAACACATTGAAAAAATTGATGTAGTACAGCCCGTAGGTATTAGATTAAGCACTCAAACAATAGAGTAGAAAAAAATATAAGAGACCAAGGAGAAGAAATAGAGATAAAAAAGACGAGATAAAGGACAGAAATAGTAGAACAAAGAAGAATATCGGAGGTCGAGGAGAAGAAAATATAGATCGAAGGGATGAAAGAAAGGACCGAAATCAGAGAACCGAGAAGGAAGAACATAAATCACATAGTTTTAAGAGAAGGTTTACTCAATATCCAAATCTGAATTTTAAAGAACTACATGGGGTATTTATAGCAAACTAAAACCTAGACAAAATAGGATAAAAATCCCTTGTTTAAACAGAAATCATAACCCAAATAAAATAGGAAACTTAAAACTAGAAATCTGGAAAAGTAAAAATCCTACTAGAATTTGGAAAACTAGAGAATCTAGGAAACTAACAAATTCATTAAGAAACTAATAAATTTAGGTCCTATACATCCTGCATCATTCTCCTCCGCCAAAAAGAACTCGACTCTGACTAATAAACAAGGAAAAAATCGAAATCCCAAGGAAATGTGAAGAGGCATGTGGCGTTCTGTAGTTCTTCAAGATCAGCATCATATTTGCCACCTTGAAACCAGCCGTTCCGCATGATGGAACATTAGTCCTTGTAAGAGGTCTTGGGATGGTTTAAGAGGTCTTGGATACAGAATGCCACATGCCTCTTAAGAGGTCTTAACCATGTGGCATTCTGATCTTGAAGAGTGTTGGATACAGAACGCCACATGCCTCTTAAGAGGTCTTGGGCAAGCTTCCATATCCAACACTCTTGTTGATCATCTCTATCAATACTACTCTGCAATGGTGGCAAAAAATTGAGCCAAATTGGGCAAAGAAATTGGGTTGACAAAAAATTCGACCAAGTTGACTAAAAACCAGACCAGACCAGTTTGGTTCGATTCTTGTAGCGAAAAAATGGACTGGACCGTACCAGCTGTGTATTTTTAATTTTTTTAATAAAATATTTAACCCCAATGCTAAATTTCTAAACCCATAACTAATCTTTCCCCAAGCCCAAATCTAAATCACCTCTCTTTTCTATGCTCAATCAACTTCCTTTGCATAAAATTAGGTCATTTGTGGGTTTTGGACAAATTTTTTTTATTGCGATCCAAAAAATCGAACCGAATTATGGGCAAACCGAAATGAATAATTTTTTTTAATAAAAAATTGGACCGAACTAGACCGGATGAATAGTACTGGTTCTGATTCCGATTTGGAGTGAGAACCAAATCGTGCCCACCCCTATCTGAAATTGGTACTTAGGTGACTAATGGTAAATTTAATTACACAAACAAGACAAAACAATACAGCAATCTTCACACACTTTAAACCTTGACCAAATACACATATGACTAGTCAACTGCTAGTCATGAACAATCACAATCAAGAGAACACACAGATCATACCACAATGTACCTGCAACCCTAGAAGATTACTAGTGACAACCTAGGCACTCAGAAGGACCCGTCAATCTAGGCATCCCCTGTGCTAGCAACAACTATGTGAAAGTGTGTGAAATCATCAAAATCATGCAAACATCAAACAGCAGATAAAGATGACTAGTCAACCACCAAGAACACAAACCCAGAAAAATTACAGATATGCAAAACAGATTTTGTTCACCCAGAAACCCACTATTGGGAAAAATTGGGAGTCATCAACCGACCAGGCACTCCACTAAGTAGAAAAAGATTCTTACAAAGGAAACACAACCAAGCTCAAGATTCACCTAGGTCTATTTAGGAATATGAGCAATACCTCCTTTGTGCAATCTTCTTCTCCAACTTAGCAAAACTTGAAGCTCAGTTCTTCATGGCAATGACAGCTCCTTCTCCAGCTCGTTCATCCCATGGCACAAGCTTGCAAGTTCCAACACAGACCGAAACCAATATTTGGATTCAAAAGAGAATGACCAATTTCTTCAAGAAACCATACTCTTAAAGAAATCAGTCTTGAAGACTGTTTAATGTAATGATATGCAATGCTCATTTTATGAAGACTGTTTAATGTAATGATATGAAATGCTCAATACCTTTGTCAACTTGCTTGAGCCACCATAGAGCAGAGATTAGAGAAGAGCACCAATAAAAGTTTTCCCTAATCTAGACTTGAGCTTGATAAATTACATTACACATCCTATTACAAAGTTGTCAAGGGAAGCCAAAAGAAAATAGTAAAAACCATACATTAAC